ACCCTCCGGATCAGACAGCATAGGGACGTGAACTCGCGGGACGCGGTTTCTACCAGTAGCCATACGGTGAGTAGACCCCGCGATACTCTAGTCTAGTCCTTATTACATGATCCTCCAAAAGGGCACCCCTGATTTTGCAACACCCTCAGCCCTAAACCTGAAAAGGATATCCCTAAGTAATCTGTGCTCTTCAATTCCCTAGAACGATCAACCATGAAACAAAAATTGTCTTCCACAGAATAACTGTGGAGCCTTGTTCCATTATTCCAAGGGTCTTTCTATAGACGTGAAGAAATACTCTCTCACGCAAGCTCCATGAAGTGTAGCCCAGAAAGCAAGGTTTGAGCGCTTAACTTCGAATGAAATTTGTAAACGAAACAGATGTAAGAATCAGCTGTTCTGTTCCCCGTTTACAAGCAACCAATGACGGAGTCTTCTTGCCAGGTATTTGAGTTACCCTAAACTTCTTGAATTCGACTAGTAACTCCGGAGCTTCTTCTGCTATTCTAGGGGCTTTTCTGCAAGTATGAAGAGAGACCCTCTCACGCAAGCTCCATAAGGGTTAGTTCAGGATGCAGTGTTTGAGCATTCAAGTCCTAATAAGATTTAGGCAGCCAACCAGGGGTCAGAATCAGATTTCCCATTTTGTCAAAACAGCCAGCTAAATGAGTCTGCCCTTCTGAAGTGAGGTCCTGAATCTAATTGAAGACAATCAAACATGACTAAAGCCAGTTGAAAATCAAGCAAGATCCGTGTATGTCGCGTAAAAACCTATCAAAACCAACGCAACTTCCTATTTTCATTTGCGTCTGGAAATAGACTTATCTAGATTTCAGGAGTTTTCGGCCCAAGAATTCCTTTGGCTTCAAAGTAGCCTCTGACCTCTATACAGAAGCCTTTGAGTTCAAATTTGGCCCACGACATCTTCTTTAACTCTAGGTGGTTGCGTTACTGTTGAGCCCAGATAAACCCTTGTATATCCTCTGCACACCCTAAGGCCCTAAACCCTAGAGCCCTACACCCTAAACCCATACCCCTTTAAAGCGTCTAATCTAGGCGAAGCCCACATATGGATGTTCAGCTTTCTCCTTCCTGCGCAGGCCACCGATGCCCAGGTCCGCGACGCAGCAAAGGCTGCGCGGTTTATCGTTAGGTTTCCGACATACAGGGTGTAGGGTTTTGGATTTAAGGTTTAGGTTTTTGGGTAGGAAGATCACATGGAGTATATGGGGAGTTTGCGCAGGGAGATTTTTATATCCATATTTGTATATCCGTGTAAGAACTATGGGTGGTTATATACGGAATTCAAAGGGCTTCATAAGACTGATAGGCGCGGAGGGTATTGCTTCATGTGAGTCACCATTGGATCAGATTCTGGGTTCTTGACTATTTGAGAATGCATGAGTATGCACTTTAGGATGACTACATTCATGCGGTTGAGTCTTTCTCAGTCTCTTACCAAGAACAAGTGTGTACCTTTCTGACACGCTTTGTTACAAAGTGTAGGCTTTGCTTTAGGCTTTTACTCAGTAATGCAGGTGTCAAGGGCATGTATGAGGAGAAGGCTTATCACTATCCTCCTTGAGCTTAGCTTGGACCTTAGACCCTTAACCGTTTGGGATTCCCGATATACTCCTACTATAGGTACCTGAAGGTTAACCCTTAGTAGGAGTCCTAAGTGCCATGTAGTATCCATTTTGCTTATCATGAGCGATGAGCGGCCGGGGACGCAGCAACCTAACCCCCTAAACCCCTAACCCCTAAACCCTAAACCCTAGCCCCCTAAACCTTAAACCCCAGCCCCCTAAAGCCTAAACCCTAGCCCCGTAGCCCCCTAAACCCTAAACCCTAAAACCCTAGCCCCCTAAACCTTGAACCCTAACTCTAAATCCTAGCCCCCTAAAGCCTAAACCCT